CTAGATCGCATACGGATCTTTGGAATCTTTCTTTATGAATAGTGTAGTGTAGAACAGAGCAACCGGGATCAGGAGTTCAACTGGAGTTGCTCCTTGAATAATTGCAATCACTTCCTACGATACCATCATGATTCTGCAATATGTCTCGTGGGTCCTCGTGGCAGTGTGGTTTTCACATATTACTTAACTGCAGGGAAAATATTCATGGCGTCACTTAGAGACATCTCGATGATTATGCATTCTCAAATTAACCATAATAGCTACTCTCTCAAATAGGAGATTCAATGTAGTACTTAAGGATCAAATCCACGTAGACTCTGGGATTACAAACTATATTTATTGCTTTCGAATTAAAGCTAGATGGTAGATGTGATAGCATGAAATGATTTCAGAATTGATTTAGTTTGTAAATACTTATGGGTAGGATTAAATTCAGGGGAGAATCTCATACAAGCAAATTTATGATGACTAAGAGACTGCTAAGGGTTTAATGAAGTAAAGTTCTGGAACTCAAACTCTAGGGGTTTCACTTTCGTAAATCTCATTGAGGTCGATCGATGTCCACTGCGTGGTGTCGATCGATACTGCTTCTAAACAGATTTGTGGTTTGATATGTTCTCTAAACTTCTAATTTAATTTTCGTTTGTTATTAGTTTTTAGATCATTTAAGCTACTTTTCATAGTAATAGTCAGGTTCTTACTTGCGCTATTAAGTCTTATGGTCTAGGGTTGAAGTGATCAAGTTCAACTCAGCATTAAGCACAACTTAAACACATAACTAAATGAATTACCCTATCAATTCTATGTGATCAACAAAACTTCACTACCATTGAAGAACCCTAAATCCAACAATGAATTACTTAGACATGATTATGAAGAACATAATAAATAACTGAATAAACTGCATAAATCAAAGTAAACAAGTGATAAGAAGTTCAAAATTTGTTTTCTGTAAAGTTGTCAGATCTCTCTCTCCAAATGTGTGAAAGACAGCTCTCTAGATGCAACAGGGTTTTCCAACTTAGGTTTTACAAAATGATAAAAACCTAATAAATAGCTAAACATTCGGCCAGAGACTTGTCTTGTAATATAGGAGACTTCTGGGTGAAACTCGAAATTTCCCAAAATCATCATTAAACTTGTGGATGTAATGGCCGTCGATCGACGCACATGATGTACCATCGATCGATGTTGTCTGTAAAATCTGACTCCGACTTTGAGTTTTCAGGACAGCATTCTTCAATGCTCCAAAATGATCCAATTGATTCCACTGAGTACATGAACCTGTAAAAGCTATAAAACAATTCCAAATGCATATAACGTACTATAAAAACATATATATGTCATGGGTAAAAAAATTTAAAATCCATTACACATTAATCCTCACTATATTTTTTCTTTTCCTTACATCCATGTGTTTAAGGTCAGGGTTCTTTTATTGCTTTTTTTTTTTAGAATTGTAGATTGAAATTCTGAGGGATCGATTTTCTGGGTTTTCAATTTTATGCACTGGTTCGTTTTAGGGTTGGTGTCAAATGTGATTAAATATGATTGTGACTGTGAAGCTTTACTGTGCAGGTGTTTGTTTATAGTAGATATGCAGCTTCATTGGGTTGGGTCAATTTGGGTTCAAAGGATTGTATTGTTTTGTTCAAGTGTTTTAGTAAACTTAGATATTTAATCTTCAGAAGTTTTGGTCGATTTTTTCACAAGCGTGATTTTTCAAGCTTATTGCATTGGAGCAATCAGAAGGTTCTTTTCTGACTGATGAAACCCCATCTGCACCCTCTATCGACAGCTCAATGTTGCTTACATTGAAGTAAGAATCTCCTAATCTAACGTTTCACATAATTAGTTTTAATAACATATAGAATTTAGTTTTGCATAATGAAGATTGATTGAAGTAAAAAAAAAAATTATATGTATTTTGTAGCTATTGAAGAACATCAGTAGTTTTAGAAACCCATATGAAGCTCTCAAGAATTATAAAAAATTAACCGTTTTGATATATAACTATTTTTAATACCACACAAAATTTGGACCAATAGTTTTTGAACAAGTGTAAAAATATTTTTTCTAAAAAAATGGTGAGAGTCTCTTGAAGACTCATTCTATTCTCTCTCTTACTTTTCAATTATTTTTGTTATTTTAATAATGAGAAACTACTCAATCGCTTACCACTGCAGGTGCTCTTAGATGTTTTTTGTAAAAAACAAAACTTATAATTTTAAAGATATTTACATTTTTTAACTAATTATTATACTTATAATTTCTTAGTTTTGTTTATTTTTCTAATTTTGGTTTCACGTTATTAATCGAATACAAGTTCAAAATAAACCAAAACCAGGTGTTTCTTTCCATACACGCGGACATAATTTTTTATGAACATTTATTAGTGTATGACTTATTAATTAAAAACCAGTATGATTAGTTATTATTATATTCTCAAAAAGTTCAAATCAAACATCTATTTATTTATATTTAACCATTTTTTTCATCAACATATATATGTTTATTGTTGTGTTGAAACTCTAAAACCACTAACATATTAAAAAAACAAAAAAATTAAATTATATATATATATATATATATATAATACTTTTTTGTCATGCCATCAAAATACAGACTCAATTTAGACTCTGTAGACCATTCCGGTAGCTTTGTGTCCATGTAAACCACAAAGGTCATTTGTTGTCTGGCGTTGCGTGCTAGAATATCCGCCCTCGAGTTCTGTGTTCTGGGGACATGAATGGTCTCCAAGTAATTGAAACTCCTTTTCAATATATGGATGTCTTATAAATAGTTTGTGAATGCTGGCTGTTGGAGAGGGATTGAACACCCTTCCACAAGGCCCATCGAATAAAAGGCTCCAACCCATCTACGGCCGGTTCGAGTGGAGTTCGATTGATATAGGAGACCTAACCGGGAGTCCGAACGAACGGTTCACTCAATAGTCGGTCGACTAGCCAAATCGAGCTCATTTTTACAAATTATCACCGGCCCAGAAGCCCATCAAGCTCGGGCCGATCTTGGGCTTTTTGAGCTAGCTTTAGGGCGAACGAAGACGAAAACGAACTAAGCTATAAAAGGAGAGCAGGAGCGAAAGAGAATGGATCCGCAAATTACTACAAGAACACTGACGGCAAGGTTTAGGGTTTTACGATCGAACCTCCTTGTAATCCGGCCGGACTTTCATAAAGCTCCGACCTTTGTTCTTTCCTTGAATCTTTCTGTAATCTCCTCTTGTTATCAACTCTGATTAATAAAATGCCTTCGAAGAACCCACAAATCGAGTTTAGTTTTCTAGTCAATCGACCGTACAAAACTCAGATTCAACACTGGCCACTCTGCTGGTTCTGAAACCATCTTCACCAATTGAGAGCAGTCCGTTGCAAACGTGACGTTAAATTGTCTTAAATTCCTCATACTTTCCATTACCCAGATAAGAGCTTCTACTTACGAATGTAGAGATGATAAGCTTGCTCTCGTGTTTCTGTCCCCCATCTGAGCGTCAAAACCTTCCAAAGTGCCAAACCAGCACTGTCCCGAAAAAATATATTTGTCCTTCCATGATCCATCCGTGAAACACCATCTTCCCGGAATCTGAGGTAAAGGTGGCGAAGTTGATGTTTCTGTATGGGGCATACGATGTGAGAGCGCAGTTTGTGCCTCCTTCCAAATTGTGGCTTATGTTTCTGCCAGCTTAATTGTATCTCGCGGGTCAGTATCAATGTTTCTAAAAACCATGTTATTCTTAGCTTTCCAAATGTACCATAAGATCCAAGCAAATTGGTGATCTTCATGGGTGGATCGATCCTCCAGAGTAAATGATTCATATTTGTAAAGATTGACTGGATAGGAAGATAAGAGGATTTGATGGAACCTTTGATAGAGCCCAAACTTGGACAGCATGTGTGCATTCAGAAAACATGTAATTGATTGATTCTTCATCTGCTCCACATCTTGTGCATTGAATATCTCCTTGCAAGCCTCTCGCTTGTAAACTCTTCTTAACCAAGATACAACCTGAAATAATTTGCCATAGAAAGTGCTTGATCTTCTGCAGACATCTTATTTTCCACGATGTGCCTTGAGGGGGTTAATATCTGGGACTAATGTCGTAGTCGGCTGTTGAATGCTGGGGTAAACCTTTTCACCTGGTAACCAGATTTTACTGTATATTTTCCATTTTTAGTAAAGTGACATCCATCCTTGTCTTGTCCCTGAAACGACTTAAAAGAAATACTCTCTAAATTTTTTGGATCTTCTGGATCCACAAGGTCTCGAATCATCTGAAACCATGTTCGTGTGGTTGAGTTGATGAGTGTATCCACTGTAAGATCGGGCTGAAGCATTTGTTGAAAATTGTTTGCTGGTCTCGGGCGAGTGGTTGGTAGCCAAGGGTCCTTCCACACAGAGATGGAAGAGCCTGATCCCACTCTTTTGATTAGTCATTTGCTAACCAGAGATCTAGCAGAGATTATACTTCTCCATCCATATGATGGTGAATATGACCTTATTGGTTCCAGGGGTAATGCGTTTCTGAAATACTGTCCTTTAAAAACACGAGAGAACAAAGCCCCTGGTCTTTCAGTCAGTCGCTAAAACTGTTTTCCCAACATAGCTGTATTAAAATCTACTAGATCTTTGAACCCCAAGCCACCTTCAACTTTAGAAATACATAAGTTGTCTCATGACTTCCAATACATACCTCGAGTAGTTCTTCCGGAGCTCCACCATAATTGTGCAGTAACACTCAGCAACTTCTTCGTCATTGTCTTTGGTATATGATAGCAAGACATTACGTGGTTTGGTAATGTCGTGATTAGGGAGTTAATGATCACCTCCTTTCCTCCACATTTAACAATCCACAAATACAAAAAATCGTTGCTATTTTGTGGTGTATTTTTCGCAAGACGTTTATGGGATGTCTGCAGAAATAAAGCAACGATTCAAAGTGTGCGAGTTGTAGCTAATAACGTGAACACCAAAAATGGTTAATTGATGTCAAATAGCATCAGGAAAGTTTAAAACATCAACCAACTGTTGTGACACATGAAATTAGCGTGGGTTTAAACCTAAGTGGTTTATATTTTGGACATAGGGACGTCTCCTGCTTAAATAGAAAATAGAACTTGGAAACTTCATTGTGTACTCTGAGTTTGGAAAATTCACACAAATCATATCTTTAAGGACATCTTAATCATCCTAACAACAATGTGGGGCTCATTCACAAGCATTAAAGATGGTGACATCTCAACGAACACGGCGATCTTTATCTTCCTGCCCCAAGCCCAAAGACTTCTGAGCATTTGCAATACCTTCAGGATCTGCACCAACGATATCAACCATTAAACACTCATACCAGCACGATAAATCAAGGGTCACTGAGGGGCTCAAGGTTGGAAAAAAATTAAGAATGGCACTACTTTTATCACATGACCAGAAAACATTAGTTGAATTAACACATGATATTGGAAGTTCATAACTCACCAAAGAACTGAGTGAAAATACGTGTGAAGAAGCTCAAGTTACGAGAGACGTTGTATGCCATTGCAGGAGGGAGAGGCTTCACCAAAGTATCTATACTGAATACTCTTTGCAAAAACTGTAAAAGATAGTCAGACTTTACAGGTAAGGAACAGGTACATTGCACAAAGGAAACCAAAGCTATTCTGTGAATACCCTGAAACTGCACACAACATGCTTTTTATGTAGAGACGTTTCCATATGCATATGTGAACATAAACTGATGCATCACTGTTCATATGAATTATCTTTAAATTAAAGTATAACTTACTGGAGGTAATAGACTGTTATGCCCGACCTAGCTACATAGTATCTCTGAACCAAGATACTAAGTTGGGAGAAGTGACCTTGACTAACAATAGAGAAATTCACAATTGAAACAAGTGAGCAAAACTGATACTTTTCGTTACCACTCGAAATGTGAAATCTTTATCTATATCCAAGCGCTGAAGGGTCAAAATGATGGAGAGACACCAAACAAGTTTGAACCATATCAAATGCATAAAGGACAGATCTTTTTTTTTTACCATAATTTACTTATTAACCATATGAAACCCAGAAGTAGGGCAAAGGAGAGAGACACAGTTTAAAGAGACCTGATAGTTTCGATTGAAGCTGTATCGAAGCTGAGGATCAATCTCGAGAGAATCTTCGTCATCGGCGAGACTACCTTTATTGGTTCCACGGCCAGGGACGTGCATCTTCGACATGCCGTCAGATTCCTTTGTAACCTTAAGCTTTGCGCCGCTGAACTTATCAGAGTCATCATCGTCGCCTTCGCCTCTCCACGGCGCTTTCGATAACAGCTCTTTCTTCTTCGACATACTTGGATCTTTGAGCTGGTGAGTTTCGTTTGTATGCTTATCGGTGGGATAAGGGTCTCTCCCCAACGAGATATGAGTTTTCGAATAAGCCGAACAGGCCCAGTTATAGGTCTGGTCTACCAAATGTAGCCTAAGCAACGGACTCACTAGCTCTCATTTCATATACTTGGGCTTTTGTTTTATTTCAACCCCTTAATCTAACAAAATCAACCTATCAATGTAGGTGCAACGTCAATAACAAAAGGATAGTAGATCAAAGGTAGTTTCCGCAATTTTATTAGTTCGGATAGTTTGAATTAGGCATGGACATTTGTCCAATCAGGTTTCGGTTCCATCCAAGGTCATGAAATTTAGTCCAGTTTGAATCTTTTTTTAATTTTGATTTGGATTCTTCAGATTGAGGATATATTAACACATTACAAACCTTGTTGAATTCTTTGCAAATTCGTATTTCATTCCCTAAATACTTATTTGTGACAATAATATATATTTTATTTCACAAGCTTAGCAAACTTAAACACTTTATCTTAACTAAACAAAAAATCAAAATAGTTTTCACTAGCAACAACTTAACGATATGATCCAGAAGTGGTCGTTAAGATGAGTGAAACACAAACAATTTGAAACTAGAGAATATTAGCTCTAAAAATGTAAACAATATTATTTAAACTTTAAAATAATATAATAATTTTAAACTTCAAAAGTAAACATACTCATAATTAAATTTCAAATTCATGTGCAAAAACATAAAAATCTCCATATTTGATCAAATATCAAAAATGTAAATTAACTGAATATATATTTGAGTTGATTATTCATTGTAGGAGTCAAAATTCGCACAAGAAAAATTTATAGCTGAAATTCGCACAATCATGTATGAGTGATCAGGAAATAGAAATGGTCAACCGAGAAATAGAAATGAACGATGGCATGTGATAAAGAACTAGGTTAGGCAATATGGTCAGGAAATGAGTCAACTATTGTGGATGATGATCTGGAGCTAGAAATGAACTTGGAAAGAAAACTTTACATGAAAAAGTGGGTATGAAGAAGTTATCTGTCGAGCCAAAAGTCCAATGGATTAGGTCCAAGAATAAGATGGACGAGAAGAGGCCTTTACGACCTATGAATCAAAGATCAACCAAGAGGTGGATTCACTTGTTTTCTCACTTGGGTTGATCACAAGATAAAGACTAATGATTTCAAAAAGGGGACTTGGATCTTTGGTTAGGAGTTTTCATGGACTAGCAGGCTTCTAAAGACGGTTTGTCAGAGATTTCAACTCTATATCTGCACCATTCACTGGAGTAGTCAAGAAGAGTGTTGGGTTTACTTGAGGCAAAAAGGAGGAAAAGGCATTTCATTTTCTGAAAGAAAAGTTAACAAATGCATATTTTTTTATATTGTCTAACTTTCTGAAAACCATTGAAATTGAGTGTGATGCCTCAAGAGTGGGGATTAGAGCGGTTCACATGCAAGAGGAAATGCCAAATATATTTCAGTTAAAAGTTGGGAGGAGCCAGAGGCAGACCCACATGTATTAATGGTGGGTCAGCTGATTAAATAATAAAAAACTGATTTGTTACATAGAGATTGTTTAGATTCGGTAAGTCAGTTAGTAAAATCTCTAACGGTGACACTTCTAAATCATGGGTTCGACATTCACATTTTACTTCTTTTTTTTCGTGATTAAAGCCCATTAATTTTTCTTTGGCCCATATTAAAAAGAATCCTAGGTACACCTCTGGGAGAGCTACTTTGAATTATCTCACTTATGAAAAACAGATTTATACACTTGTGAGAGAACTTATCGCGACCAAGCTCTTGGGGTGGTTTGAGAAGATTAAGAAATATAATGAAGAAGACCCAGACTTCCAAGAAGTCTATGGAGAGACGACCAAGCAGGAAAAATCACGATTCTACGAGGTGAACGTGTATCTCTTCCATAACAACAGTTTGTACATTCGGTCTTGTTCCTTGTGAAAGCTATATGTTAGGGAAAACCATGGAGGCGGAATTACGGGACACTTTAGTGTCGCTAAGACCCTGAGTTCTTTACAAGAACACTTCTTTTAGCCAAAGATGAAACAAAATGTGGAATTGATTTGTGGATGGTGTGTCACTTTAATGCGGCCATCCAAGTAGAGGTTCCCATAATTAGACAAGGTCTGACCACCTGGAATGCAGCTAGGGCCATAAGACAAGGTTTTTCCAAAGCTGTCGAAGAGATCTTAGACCAAGAAGAGCAAACCGGCCAGAACCAACTGCTGATTGAAGAAATGTTCCAATTGAAGATTAAAGATTAAGTCGGTCCAATAGAGGTTCAAGAACAAACCGCTCGGTCCAATTCAAATCTCTTGCCCAGAACCGAACCGGTATAATCCTCTCCATTTGCGAACTCGGTTCTGATCCATCCCAAAACAAATCCGGTTCTGGAAAATCCCCTAAAATCCTTAAGGTAAGCAGGTAAGATTTCAATTATGATTTCTAACCGGTTTATTTTCTTTGGTTTTGTGTTAGTTTATTTATTTTCCATTTTTAAGACTTTATGGGCAAATTGTTTTAGTCCTTTTTCTGTATTTGTTTGAGTCCAATAATACAGGGCCTTTGTTTAGCCTTTTCGTAGAGACCATAGGTTTGAGTCGGCCCATGTTGTTTAGGCCTTAATGCTTTAAACTACATGTTGTTTTGCTTCAAGTCCCCTAGAAGGGCAAAGCTGCGGGTATTTAATCCCCTTTATAAGTAGCCATGTATTTTTTTACCTTAGCTAATATATGAGTCAGTTTTCCCTAGCAAAAAGAACCCTAAAAGCTCTCTAGTTTTCGTGTGAAGCCTCTCTAGACAGCAGCCTTGGATCTTATCAAGTTTCTTCCCCAAAACTTGTGGCGATTCTTCACCTCCATTACATCCATCGATTTGTTTGAGAGAGATACACATCCAGCAAGAAAATCCCATCTTCACTCCATCACCATCCACTGTTCTTGTTGCGAGAGACATCAGTCCAGCAACAAGGATCTATCCATCCATCTCTTTATCTCTTTTTTATTTGTTCATTGAATCCTATTGCATATCATCTAGTTTTATCTCATTAATCTTAAACCTAAAATCATAAAAATCGTGTCCTTTTATGTATCATCATTTTTCATCTAGTTTATCATTCTATTCATCATTTAAAACAAGAAAAAAACCCATAAAAAGGTTCTCTTTGTTTTCACTACAAATCGGATTCACCTCTTCCATCTCAACACCATCACCCATTTCATCCATTCCAAGAACCAGATCCGACAAGAACCAAACCTCTGTCAACCCATTTTTCTACTCTGAATCTGAGGCTGTAACACACTTGAAATCCTGCCAATTCCAAGGTACATCCGATATGTTTGTACACCCTCTCCCTATACCCAATGAATAGTGGGTTGATGTGTCCATTTACTTTGTTGTACGATTTCCTAAGACTAAGAGAGGTCAATAAATTATCTATGTGGTAGTGGATAGGGTTTTCTAAGATGGCACTTCTTATACATTTTCATAAGACTGATGATGTATTAGGTTGCAAGGAATGCCTAAGATTTGTTGCTGATTTGTTGTTTAGAGAAGCTATTAGGTTGCATGGAATGCCTAAGATTATAGGGATACTAATTTCTTTAGTCACTTTTGAAAAAAACAAGTTAGGAACAACGTGTCATCAACAAACTGATGGCCAAACCGAGATAGTCAATATGGCGTAATCCACCTTGTTGTGTGCCATCATCAAAGGAACATAATAACTTGGAAAGATTTTTTGCCTCATGTACAATTTTCTTATAATCATTTGGTGTATTCAGCTACTAATATAGCCCCTTTTCATTTGTTATGGGTTCCATCCTTTATACCCATTCGATTTGACTGATTTTATTTTAAAAGAAATACTAATTTTGATGGCAAAAATAAGACCGACTTTGTTAGGTCTTTACATGAGTAGGTGAAAAAAAAATTGCAAAAACAACCAATATGTCCAATGTGAACGAAATGAAACAAAACAAAGAAATGAAATAGCTTGTGCTAGAACCAAACAGCTTTGTTTGGATCCATCTTCAGAAAGAATGGTTTTCTAGTGAACGAAAGTCAAAACTTATGCTCACAGGGGATGGGCCATTCAAAGTCTTGAAGAGGATCAAAACAATGCATACAAGATTGATCTTCAAGGTAAGTATATTATTATTTCTATCTTTTATGTTTCTGACCTTACTCTTTTAATGGCAGTTGAATTTGATTTGAGGTCAAATCCTCTTAAAAGAGAAGGGGATGATGCGAGCATCGCTAGACCAAAGATGATCTCCAATCGAGCTGTACGACCGGGAAACAACATGAACGAACCATGAGATGAAGGTGTAGTAAAAAAAATGGGAAATAAAACCAATAGACATGACAGTTGGTCCGACATCTTCTTATTTGAGTTAGCTTTATTATCTGAAGGCTCAGTCTCTCGAAAATGAAACCTCATAAGAGAAGGAAGGTCCACATAAGGTTGGGAAGTCAGAATAACGAGTGTTGGGAAATGGAACTGAAAAAGCTTAACCATAAAATGGAAATTTACGATGGTAGGGTGATCAAGGATTGGATGAGGTGATATATTCCAAACATACCTAAATCCGCAAAGACTCTAAAAAGATTCAAAACAGATAATAAAAACTCTAAAATAGGACTTATATCATGGGCAAAAACCAGTAAAACTATGATATATAAGCTCCCCTTGACTTAGCCTTTGCTTGCCCTCAATCAAAATAAGAGACGAAATTGTGAATGAGTTTTCAAAATGCAGAAACTCACATACCTTTACCATTACCTATTGCAAGCCACATCAAATAGTACCAGACTTAGAAGGTACTTCTGTATAACTCAACCTCAACTTAGCAGCGTAACAGTTTACAGCCCACGGCTCATAAGATACATACATGGCCATCATCACTGACCTCACTTAAGAGTTTAACATGCAGTCTCATCGAGGGCGTATCGATCACATGACACATGGACTCTTCTCATTAAGGTTTCTGATCAAACATAAAGACTTACCTTGGTTCAT